TCAGTAGCTCATTTCTCATTTACTGCAAAGAGCCCAATGACTTGAATAGCTATTAGCTTAAGAGGCCAGCTGTGGATATTACCATGGCCTGGGAGCCATCGAGATGTGCACCACGATCCCAGACTCACTAAAAGAGATATTGCAAATGGAAGCTCTCAGAAGATTCTGATTGCAGAGGAAGAGAATGTTATCACATAAACCAAAGGAAAACAGAAAACTCAAAGATGTGCCTGTATTTGTTTGAAAAGAAAGTCAGTCATAGATGCCTTATAGAAACAGGAATTATGAACATAATCTTGATTATGAACATAATCATTCCTCTTGCCTTAATTTTCCATCTGATTAAAATTTCCCACCAAAGGTCCTCAGACTTATAGGGCTTTGATTCTGGCAATGCATTGCAAGTCTGGCAGGTAGCAGTACTGCAGAATTCTTTTCTTTTTATCCCCCAGCCCTTTGGTCTCTTCTTCATACATTTATGATCTTACAGTGTTTTTTCTCCTCTAGTCACGGATCATATGTAAACAACTAGAATTATTTTTGGAGTACAGCAGCATAACACACTCTATTTCTGTTTCTATCAAGAGATCACATTCTTGCAGATTCTTACTTTTTTTCAGTTATTAGGTTTGGGCAAACATTTGTCTGTCAAAAGGATACATTTATTAGGTATTTTATTTTATGCTTCCGATAAACTGTCATGATCCCTAAACATGGCCAAATAAAACTAATACAAATATTAAAATGTTTTTTTAAAATTAGATTACATTCCTACGGTTGACACACTTTGCTGACTTTTCAAAAACATTTACCCAGCGATAATATACTCAGTACTATGTATATTGCAAACCCATCTCCAAAATCTCAAAGACAAGTTTACCAAAGCACTTACAAACATAGAAGACATGCTAAATTGGTTTTCTGAATCTTAAAAGGTTGAAGTATGCCCTTAATGATTTGTCAACTCCAAGCCTATGTCAATAAAAGGGTACCACATCTGCAGCACTTACATCTTTTTTTTCCTGTGAAACTTAGTAGAACTGATTCTTGATCTAAGCTTTGAAACACTTATTCACCGATATTTTTAATTGCAGCTAGTAACTTGTAACATGTTTGTTTTCTCTGAATGTTCATTTTTAATGTTACTGTCACCATTTTAAATGCCCAGTTCACATACATCCTATGTTAGACTTACTAGAACCAAATCTAAAAATGCCTTTATGCATGTGTCCATGCTTGATTGATTTCAACTTTCACCCATATATTCTCTGCTATATATGTCTTTTAAACACAGTTTTATTACTGAATCAGCAAATGGACATTTTAAAACAAAAAAAAATCTACAGAAGATCTGAGTTAAATGAAATTTCTGAATGTGTTTGCCCCCCCGAAATAGCCCTCCTGTAAAATTTTGTAACTTGGAGACATCATTCTCTTTGGAGTGACTTTTATAAAGAAAGCATTCTGAAATAAAAAAAAAAAACAACACCAAAACATCCTGGCAAATATCTGTGTATTTTGCTACTTACCACTCAGTTGGTAAGTCTGATTGTTTTGACAGCTTTTTAACCTGAGCTGCTGATTCTAAGACTCCTGTCCTTCCTGTCCCAAATTCTGCCACAGAGCCTAACATTATTGAATGTCAAAACCTTACTCGAAGCCCATCTACTTAGTAACAGTTTTTGCCTTAAAGAATATAATAACCATAAGACATTCTACATCATTAACACACTAATGTATATACACATTAACTGTGTTTTTCATACACTGGAAAAGCATGAAAAAAGATATGCTAGAAATACTGTGAATTAATTCTATCAATATTTGCCTCCTTATTTGTTACAGATATATAATGTGCGAGTATTTTATGGAATCTCTAAACTGTCCATTGTATTTTTGCATTTTGCATTCCCTCTTTTTCAGGCAAATCTGTTCATTCTAGTTGGCAACTTACTTTATTTCTTTGCACCAATTTGCCACCACAGTCATGTAGTCAAAAGGGTAAGAAAAAGGCCTACCCATTGTTCCTTCAGATGCCCACGTTGCTTGTGGTGCTCCCTCTAAACTAAAAATTATTGAGGGACGTGTATGATGAGAAAGAGAGCACACAGCTGCAGATAAACTCTGATCTTTTGGAGGTACCTCTCCTCACAGCATCTACAGAAGCATCTTCATGCTTAGCATCCATTTGTGACTGGCTTTAACATCCTCACGTTATGGTGCTCTCAATTTTTATAACTTTATTTTTTAGCCATATGAATTATTTCCTTAAAAGCTACAGATTTGAAAGCTTTCACTCTTTCTGTGAACATTCCTCATTAGAGAGAAGTGCAGATTTTACTGTGTCCTACGCAAGCTAATGAAGACACTGTTAATAATAGCAAGTGATGCCTAGCACAAACTACAAAAATAGCATATTTTAAACTGCTGCAGACTGTCTACAACCACGTAACAGTCCTTGGCAATCTATCCCTCTTTATCACAGTACCTGCACAACATGCTGAACTGTAAGGTATGCACTGCAGCCCCAGCAATACACAGGGTCAGGAAAGAGCCAAGTGCTTTCTTGAATGGGAAAAGACTGAAGCATAGGAATGTTTTACTGCAGTACAGCCTGTTATCTCATTCTTTTGATCTAGATCACCTCAGTCTACAATTACATTCGTGTACTTCTCTGAACTAGCTCTCATCATGGACCAGCAAACATAAAGCAGTTCAGAGGAAGTCCTAGCATCAACAGGGTGACACTGGAAGTCCACTAGAAACTTCCTGAGCACTTCAGACAGCATACCAGCTACAGTTAGTTGCTGCCTAAAAGAGCTTCTGCCCAGTTTATATCTGTGCTGAACAATAGAAATGTGCCTGGTTTTAAAAGAGCCAGTTGGCAGCTGGCTACTCATCCTTTCTAGCCTGGGAATGTAAAGCAGACCCTAATTCTTGCTCATTTGTGTGCACAGGGGGAAAGTTATTGAAGGGTTCAGTTCTGCATGCTGCAGAAAATCTAGTGGAGACACTTGGGATCTCTTTAAAGATCCAAGATATTTGGCTGCTTTTGAATGAGTATCTGAATTCATACATTCTGATTTGCCTCCTTCATCTTTTCCCATCCTGTCACCTGTGCCCATATAACGAGCTATAAAAGGCTCATAGGACATACGTTACCCTTTTTATCCTGTTTATAGCACCTTTGGTTAGAATTATATGTCTTGAGCACACCTAGCAGGAAATGTTTCCCAGCAGTCCAACCAAACAGAACAACCCAAAGAACATCTTGCACCCAGCCAGAAGCCCACATAAACTTTTGTGACAAAATGACTTTTTTTTTCCTGGAAACCTAAAGAAAATTCCTGATTTGCTGCTTACATATACGATTTGTCAGGAGGAACTTCCCACTAAAAGTTTCAGTTCATGTTCTATATATTCTATACATTGGCCAAGTGTGATTAAAAGCTTTCAGCTGCAGTTTCCATGCACAAAAGACATTCCATTTACTGAAGTACCGAGATTCTATTTCTTCCATAAAGCAAAAGTTCCGAACATTTCCAGTGGACCAAACATAAATAAGATGCTCCCTTGAAGGAGCACTGGTAACCACAAAAGTCATAAAAAGCAATTTGCCTTATCATTTGCTTGCTGCAGCCATTTACTGGTGCATTCCATTACTTGTTCATACCTATTCAAAGGGCAGGACCAGATCTATGTATCTCATTGGGTTCTTACGGAAATTATCAGTATTCTTGATTTTAATAATTTTATCTCTCATTTTTACCATAAAAAATTTCAGTCAAGAGTCTGCTTGCTTGTCACCATGCTACAAGCTTCTGGCAGCACGTACTCAGTTTAATGACAGTCTTGGTTCTATTCCAGCAGATTATTTAAAAGAAAAGTGTCCTGATGAAAAAATCAGCTGTGTTTAAATAGCTACGTAGCTCAACCAGACAATTTGAGGGCTTTGGCTGTTTTTTCCTCTTACAGACCCTTATCAGGTCAATATACACATACACACGGACAGTATTCAATGGAGGGCTTAGCAATGTGTTTGTGCTTAAGTTTCATGATCTGCTGAACACATTACAGTAGGTGCATTACAGAGAATGCATTATTTTGTTGCTCTGTGCTTCCATAGCCAGGCTTATTCAAGAGACTACGGAGCTTAGCTTAACACTAGTCACCTAAGGTATGTCTTGATTATGTATTTTAAATACGAGTACTTAGAACTTAAACAAGGATATGTATATACTTTAATACTTGTCAGCAACTTACTGCAAAAGCAGTAAGGTGGCTGATAAACTGCCAATTATCCTTCTTCCATGTGCTACATAGTTTTGGAGATCCTAACAACAGTGCTGGAGAAAGGACATCAAATGATGCTCAGAAATGTGATACACATTTTCATTTCACACTCCATCAGTTTTTACAACTAGAGCTCCATGAAATGTATGAGAATACTTGGCTAACAGTCATATCTACTGAGGTGTAAAATAAGGATCAGATCTCTTTTTAAAAGAGTTTCATTTTCTTTACATGACTAAATCAGATGTTGACCTTTTTACAAAATATATTGTAAATATTCCATACCTCTACCCATCAATTAATTTTGAATCTCTGAATTGTGTTTTGACCTGTTTTAATAGACATGTAATCAATACACATTTTTTAAAAAACAGTTAGGTAAAGAAAAGAAAACTGATTCATCCTTCCTCTAAATTGAAATACATTGAGTTACTGATGTTAAATCTTTTCAGTTCTAGTAAGTTCTTTTCCCATCTTGCACCTTGAAAGAAGAAACAAGTGTATTATCACCTTTATAGTCAGCAAAGCTATGGACATCAGTAAAAACATATTTTGAATTCAAATTTCAATCTGTCATAAAAGATTAAAGCTTCATGCATATATAAATGGGAACTATAAAATGATAACAGATAGATAGCATGGAATCATTTTGCTTGAACAGCTGTTGATTTACCAGTGTAGCAAAGCAGAAAATGTCTTTTTCTCACCTCTCTTAAACCAGAAACTTCTCCTTTTGCTAATGGTCTGGTGATGGATGCAGTGTGAACTCTGGCATCTGACACTGGTTGCCCCTTCATAAAATGTTTTCCAGCTTCATAAATATTCACTTCTACCATCTTACCCATCAACAGAGGATCCTTTGGCACAAGGACCTTTCAAATAAAGATAAAGACATAATTACTAAATACCACAAGGAACATCAGAGTCTCCAGTTTCCACTCAGAAAACAGATGATGAACATCAGAGAAAATCCTAAAACTTTAAAATATTAGTCATCAGCATACACTATAGACCCTGCCACATTTGACCAATAAGATCTCCAGCTTGCATTCTTCAAGAGCTTTGCAGTGTTAGCTCAGCACTTTCCAACTCCAACTGTGAGTCCTGTTTTTTGATTGATGAGAAAGTTGGGCCTCAACTGCAGCTTTTGAATCCAGACCCAAACAGTTCCCAAGGGTACTCATAGTACACAGTTCTAATAGCCCGTAAAGCTTCCTGTTTTCATGTCCATGCCATAACACTTCTTTAAAAAATGTTTTTGAGTCTGTAAATGCTTCTGGACAGAAATTATGCCCTTGTTTCTCTTTGCACAAGCCCTTGTTTCTCTTTGCACAAGCCTTTATTTTGACTGTGCAGAACCTTTGCAGCTGAGATGCATGACTGACAATGAATGCCTGTAAAAATGGACGAGTGCGTTTCTTGGGTCAGCAACTAATGCCATCCTTTTCTGAATTTGCACAATCATGATATCAGAAAGTCCCATTTCATAAAAAAAGCAGCACATAACAGATATTCCTAGCTCATGTGTCTTACAAAAGAAAGAGCCCAACATACTTGAGCGATATTTTTTGCTGGAAGAATAAAGGGAGTAAAAAAGGTTTTAAAAAGGCTCTAAAATAGACAAGCAGTTAAAAAAGAAAAGTGGAGTAATTCCTTGGTGAAATTATTTTTTATTTCTTGGTGAAATATTTTACAGTGTTTACAGTGAAAAATTGAATCATGGGAATTTATTTAATCACATGTACTTGAAGTTCATCCACACACAGAATCTCAGAGTGGGTCAGGTTGGAAGGGACCACAGTGGGTCATCTGATCCAACTTCCCTGCTCAAGCAGGGTCATCCTAGAGCACACTGCACAGGACATTTCTGGAATATCTCCAGTGAGGGAGACTCCACAACCTCTTTGGCAATCTGTTCCAGTGCACAGCCACCCACACAGTAAAAAAGTTCTTCCTTGTGTTCAGGTGGAACTTCCTGTGCATCAGTTTCTACCCGTTGCCTCTTGTCCTATTGCTTGGCACTGTTGAGAAGAGCCTAGTTCTGCCTTCTTGGCACCCTCCCTTCAGATACTCATATACACTGATGAGGTGTCCTCTCAGTTGTCTCTTCTCGAGGCTGAACAGGTCCAACTCCCTCAGCCTTTCCTCATGAGATGCTCCAGTCCCTTAATCATCTTTGTCATTGTCCACTGTACCCGATCCAGGAGCTCCCTTTCTCACTTGTACTGCGGAGACCAGAACTGGACACAGCACTCCAGATGTGGCCTCTCTAGAGCTGAGGAGAGCTTTTCAAAGATCACATTAATATATCTTGATTCTTTGATGCTGAAACTGAAGTTCCTTAAAATTACTTGATTTTTAGACTACCTGTGCAGACGATTTTCAGAGAAAAATTCTGTGCCAACCACATCTGGAGAGCATTTTGTTGCCAGACAATGCCTCTCCATTTTCACCTGTCACAATTGTTGATTGTTCTACTTGGAGGAAATCACCACCAGTAGTTTCCCAAGCATCTTTTTCCCTAAAGGCTCAAGGTGTTCATGACTGTAAGTGTTTCCAGATCGTAGGATTCTGCTGAACTTCCTAAGCATCTTACAAGAAAAGCAGACATCTTTGCCTTTCAGAGATGGGCAAGCTCAGACTAAGCAAACACAAAGCCAGAGTCCTAATGCTGGGACAGTGTTACAATACAACTAGATCAGAGTTCTTCCCATGTAATTCATCATGGGAAAATTTAAATCAAAAGAAAATTAGGCAGCTAAGTATATCACTGGGTTTGTGACCGCTGTAAATCTTTGTGTCTCCATATGCAAAAGGACAGTAACTAAGTTTAAATGTGACATCAGAAAAAGAAAGACGTTAGGTGAAAATATCTGGGAGGTTCTGTAAACAACCAAGCAGTCAGGCCTGACATACACTCAGACATTTTTTTTATATCATTATTTGTTAGGGGAAAAATCCTCAACCATATTTCTAACAAACAAAGTTACACCAACAGAAATCCTCATCTTGACTGTTGATCTGGCAAAGTACCCTTAGTCAGTTTAGACTATTCTGTTCAATATAAACTATATTACCAAAGCCTCCACAAACGTAAGGTGCAGCTCTAACAGGAAGTCTGTCAGTGTAGGTCTATCGATGTGGTTTTAATAGCAAAATCTTTTAATATAGATGGGGTTAGTGAAGAGAGAACAGGTTTGATAACTATTTGAGTTAAAAGAACATTACATCAGGACTCTGAGCTTCACCTTCCAAGAATATATAAAATGATACTTAGTGACTCTAGAGTGGTTTTCAATTTCGTATAATTCAATTTACTGCTATTAATCTTAGTCACTAGCACCAAGTCTTGTACTTACCTGGGTGAGCAGTAGGATATTATCCTTGTGAAACACACCCTACATAGGATTTTAGGGAAAAGACTTACATTTTAATAATGAAAAGTATTTCTTGCATAATTGAATTCGAAATTACTCCCCATGTATGTTACTATGTGCATTTTGTGTATTTTTTACCAGTCCCAATGAGGAGTTGTATTAGGTGCTGTACAAACACATCATAAAACATCAACACTTTTTTTTCCTGTACATATTGCTTTTCATTTAATTAATTAGGCTTTCATAAAACAAGCACTGAACACTGAAAAGCCCCAAGCAATTTCTTTTTAATCTCTATATGGAAGACCGTGTTTCTCAAATCTGAGTGATAAGCTACAAAAGCAAGGAACAGTGATACATAAGAACTTAGACAAGAAGTTAAATATGTAAAAAACAAAAAGGAGATTTATCAAAAAAAGAGAAAGTGAGGAAAAAATAATTATTGAACCAGATATCTAACAGAAACAGATATTTCATGAATAGTAATGTTCCTTACTACTAAGCAAAAATAAATAAATGCTGTAACACAACCCAAAACCAGAAGAAACCACTATTGGTGACTATGTAAGCACAATCATCACCTATAGCCTCTCCAGGTTCAGACAATTGAATACCTAAAGGTAGCAAAAGCAAACTGTAGATAGTTCAGTGCAAGGAAACGGACAACAACCCAAAGGTAAAATGAGAATAAAATCATAATGATTCAGAAAAGTAAATTTTCTTGGGTCTTAGCAAGTCATCTGCTTCCGAGCAAAAGTAATAATTTTGTGAAATAGATGTACTTTCTTCCTAGCTCAAAGGTAATCTTTTTGTGTGGAAAGAATTTCCTTATAGAAAGTACATAGAAGGAAATGACAGAAAACAGAAGGAAGGGATGCCATTCAGGAGGGCCTAAACAAGCTTGAGTAGTGGACCCACGAGAACCTAATGAGGTTCAACAAGTTCAAGTGCAAGGTGCACTTGCACCAGGGTTGGCAATCCCAGACAGGAGTACAGACTGGGAGAAGAACTTATTGAGAGCAGCCCTGCCGAGAAGGACTTGGGGTTCTGGTGGATGAGAGGCTGAACACGAGGAATGCATGCAATGTGTGCTTGCATCCCAGAAAGCCAATTGTATCCTGGGCTGCATCAAGAGGAGTGTGATCTCACAAAGTTCCATGCTTCGTTAAGGTCAAGGTTGGCAATTCTGCCCCTCTACTCTGGTGAGACCCTGCTGGAGTCTTGGGTCCTCAGGATAAGAAAGACGTGGACACAAGACAGAGCAGTTTCAGGGGAGGGCCACAAAGATGGTCAAAGGGCAGGAGCACCCCTCTTATGAGAAAATGTTGAGAGAGCTGGGGTTGTTCAACTTGGAGTAAACAATGATCCAAGACCTTATAGCAGCCTCCTAGTACCAAAAGGGAACTTATAAAAAAGAGGAAGAGTGACTTTTTACACTGTCAGATAGTGATAAGATAAGGGGGAACAATTTTAAACTAAAAGAGATTTAGATTAGTTGTTAGGAAGAAAATCTATACGCAAGAGGGTAGAGAGGCACTGGAACAGGTTGCCCAGAAGAGAGAAGTTATGGACACCTCATGCCTGGAAGTATTCCAGGCCAAGTTGGATGGGATTCTGAGCAACCTGGTCTAGTGGGTGGCACCTCTGCACGTGACAGAAGGGTTCAAACTAGATGATCTTCAAGCTCCCTTCCAACCCAAACCATACTATGAATCTATGAGATAAAACATATCATGCCAAAGTGGTAATCTAAGGAATTTTCTGACCCTTCTATTGCTAGAATTATTTTTTTTTCCAATTGCATTGCCTGAAATACTTTTCAGAAAGATGTATGGAAACTATCATGACTCAACTATTCAGAAAACAATGCTTTGGGGTCACAGTAATTAACATTGCTGCAATAATTAACAGCTTCTTAAACCATGCTGTATATTCAAACAGCCACTGTGTATTTCTTAATGTAATTTCAGGTTAATTATATTTACAACACAGAAACAAAATATTTCATAAACAAGTCTTGTTAGTCACATGTTTCCTGGAAAATACTTATTTCTTTCCTTGTTTTTTTGTATCGTAACACACTGTGCTGCTGAGATTATCAGAAAGCAAAGATAAAACAAAAAGATGTTATCTGGTTTATTTAACTGTACCTGCTCATAGAAAGGATTGTGAGCAACGTAGTAATTGGAGTCAAATGATTCTTCTGTTACCAGAACTCTCTGCCTCTCACCAACCTGGAACATAGAAGATGAGAGAGATGACTCAGAAAGGAAAAATAATTAATTATGCTGAGAAGAGAACTGCAACTACAAACAAATGTTCTTAGCAGAAATAATCAAATTCTCTGAGGAAATTCTGTGTCAGCAAGAAAGTGGAACAGGAAAAGCTCTACTTTAAACTGTCTAAAACTGACAGGGTTAAAAGTCAAAATTAAGGGCTAGAACTGTGGTGCTATAATGGTTTAACATGAAAATCATGTTCAGAAATATATACTGATTTTTACTTATTAACATGATAACAAATAGAAATGGCAGATATGCACAGAGTCCATTACATCTTCATCCAACTAATGAAAAAATTGTGCAATCAATTACTCAAAAGGTATATTTTCTTTAAAGGCCACACTTGTTATTTACAATGCTAGGGCACCTCTTTATCCCTTTTTGGTGATCTCACCAAGCTGTGCTTGCAAGATCACACTGATTTCCATTACAGTGGAGCCAACACTGCATATTACAAAGACTCGAGAAGAAGAGTTTTTAACAACTCTCAGACACAGGGATATTATGTAAGGCAAAATGGTGTAAAAAGCCCTGTGTTTAAAATTCCCAACTTCCAAATGCCCCAAAAGAGTTTAAGGGAAGCACCAGTTTTACATTTAGTTAAATGAAAGATGCCAAGACAAATCATTTGCATTTAGGGGCCAAGTAGATATGAAACTAAATCTGAATTTCCCCAAAGTTCAAAATCTCTCACATAGCACCTTTTGATTTTGTCCATTACTGAGTTGTGTAATGAAAATGTATAGCTTAATTTCTACAAACCTTGAAGACATTTAACTCACATTTTTAGTCTGAGCTCATCTCTATTTTTTTCCATCTAAATGTGCCCTGGATTATTTCCAAACTATTTGACAAATGCATTCTGCAAATTACAACTGTCTAGCAAGTTAAATTTACTCACTGCTTTTATTACTATTTTGAGACTCAAAAAGGTTTCACATTTTACTCCGAAGTTTTAATATCTATGAGTAAAGTTACATTCAAGACTCTTCCCCCTCCTTGAAAGACTTCCACCACATCCTAATGGCAGCTGTTACTTAGAAGTTTTAAGGCCTCCATCATAAGGTTGATGTGAACTAGCAAGAACTTGCAGATCAGATAATAATGTTTTGATTTTTTAAGGTACAAGCAGTAAAAGTAAAAGATAAGATTAGAAGTTTCTCTAACAGTCAATGGCAGAAAATAGAACATTAAGAAATAAGAACAGCAATATCACATCTACATTACAGTATATATATACTGTATATATGCATATATATATATACACACATGATACATATATAATTCTGCACTTGCTGAACAGAAAGACTTCATAGAATAACTCTTGCCTTCTCTTCCTTGTGCACATATCTAAATATTCCCAAAGTAAACCCTGGAGAGAAAGGGAGACAGTAAGCACCCAGCTCATTTCCCCCAAGGCAGTTAGAGTTCATTCTCAGGACTGCAAGTGTGGGGTACAGCAGAAGGGGTAAAACCCCTGACTTCCAGACCCAGTAACAGAATCTGAATAGCAGAAAAGATGTATATATTTGCATACTTTTAAGAGGTGTTTAAGAATTGTTTTTATAGCACATTTAGAATTTCCATTCATGTTTCTCTAGGAAGTCAGCAATTACATATAACAACAGATTCAACATACTCAAATTTTAGTAAAAATTCGGTGTAACCAACAGTGAGGCAGTTTTTTAAAATTATTTTCAAGAAAACAGTTATTCAGTTCAAATACTCAAAGGAGTTTTGCAAAACATGTCAATAAGACACTTGAGATAACTACTCCAATAATAAGATTTTCCCTAAACTGAGAGGTTGTGTTACTTCTATAATATTTGAAACCATAGCTTTTAAAAATCACAACTCAATATCTGCTGTAGCACTAAAGTGCTAAAGTCTCAGATGTCATGCGATATTATGAAAAAGAGGAGGACAAAATAAGCAACATTCACCCTTGGGAAAACATGCTACCACTGAAAAGCACCAAGGCCAATCACCAAGTCACATCCTCACATTGCATTCATTATTTACTGATACCAAAACTTAGCAAAACTGGCTCAAAGCAATACTGGGCCTGTAACTCATTTCACAATTGTCTTGTGGTTCCCTGGGTCTCTCTTATCACCACGTTCTGCCATCATTGCCGCTATGAGTCCTGCCCGTGAGGCAGGCTGAGCTACATGTGTTATCTTCATACTCTCAGATGAAAGAAAGGCAACCATATTATTAAAAAAAAAAAAAAAAAATCAGAGGGAAGAAGAAAAGAACACCTGTGTTAGATCATTTGAGATAAATTGTGGTTTCTTCAGAGACACGTTGCCAGTTTTTCTCATCTTTGCTTCCATGAGCAAAAGAGGTCAGGTCTCCATGTCCCAGAGGGTTAGACTGAGCTTTTGGGCTCAGAATTTCTTGGGAATGGGAGGAAATCAGGAAGACTAAATTTTTAACATAGCATCAGAACTGTGGCATTTAAATTGAGCACCAGAAGTGCAGAGGAGCCAAACAGCCTATACCAATTTACAATACACACAAGACTAAGATGGCACACTGTAGGGAATGCAGGTAAACCCAGTAATTGTTCACTTGATGAAGGTACTGGATTTGTAGCCTTGGTCAAGACCAAACTCACAGAAAGATACAATATTCAGCCATTTGCAGACTCTTTTGCCATAACAACAGAAAAGGAAAATTCCATTTAATGAGTTAGGCCATTGAGTATTCATGATCTACAAGACTAATTGGTTACATGCATTTGTAAGACAGAAAATGACTATCTATCCTGCATCCAAGCATAATTAAGAAGAAATGTAAGTACGCAGAATGCAGCTTTGGTATTGAAATTTGTTCAAGAAGTGTAATATGTCATCATTTCTGCAATTATTCCCCTGGGATCTCTAAGTGCCTAAGTTTCACCTCTCTCAAAATTTAAATACGCAGAAACCAGACACGATATCTAATAACAGTCATAATTATAATAACCTTTGATGATTTTTTTCAGGCATGTACCAGCAGAAGTAGTTCAGTATCTTATTTTTATTCCTATTCTTTCATCTGCTTCCACAGGTACACACGAGTTCCAGCTCTCAGGGAACTACAATTCTGCCAAAGCATCTGGAACTTAGGAAACTCAGCCCTGACATCTCAATTTGGAAAGGTTTCCTATAGAAGCATTACTTTTTTTTCTTTATGGATGGTAGTATGAAAATTCTTATGAAAAAAAAACTTGCCTGGCAACCTCCCCCATCCCAAGGTGGACTGGTCATATAATTTACGCAAAGAGAATTTGTTTTCACCAAAAACAGTGCAACAAGCGCTGCTGGTCATATCACTTCCTACACTGAAACAGTTACCAGGAAGTTTGTAAATCTCAGAGTCAGTAATGAAATCACTTAGGAACTTCTATTTCATTTTCATTTATCCTACAGGAAATTCTGACATGATAATTCTTTAACTCAGTTTTTCCTTTACTGGAAATCATGAAAAGCAGTTTTTCCAGCTGGTTGATTTTATAAAATAATTGAACTGTAAGATATTTCCAAAATCCTTATTGGCTGCAGTCAAATTAAGTTTCTTTTTTAAACCAAAACTGACTGAATCACCTAAAACACAAGACTGGTTTTTAAACTCTGCAATAGTTTGGTTGTAAAGGACTGTCCCCTTTTTACATGCTTTGACAGAATATTGCTACATAACGTCAACAGTGGCCTGCTGTAATTTACTTAGATAATTTATACCTCTAATTTTTTTTTTACTTAATGAAAACTATGATTGCACCAGTTTTGATTTATTGCTTATTACAGCCAGAGCACATAGCACACAATCTTTCTCATTGTTTTCTTCTCATTTTTTTATCTGAATTTTGTTAGCTTTGTTTGTAAGAGCCTCTGTTTGGCTAAAAAAAAAAAAAATTAATAACCACTGTCTTTCTATATTTCTCCCATAGAAGATAACACACTGCACATGTAGCATCTCCATTGATTTAGAGACAGTTGCTAAAGCCTCCTTCAGGTTGAATTCAATTCATAGTCGAATTGATGAGCATCTCTCAATTCATGTTGAAGGAGGCTGGCTTGGATTCTGACCCCAATCATTATGGAACATACTTAGTACAAAGCTTGGAAGCCACATAAAAAGTTGCTTTCCTGTATTTGTTATTTAAATACATCATAAAGCAGGCAATAAAAAATACAGACTGTCACAATTCACGTGAGTATGTTTTAGCAGATTATTCTGATGTACAGAATATTTCTGGTAAACATGCATACTTTGACCTTTACTAAGTATAGCAAAGTTTAAGCAAAAGTAATTTAGAAAGTGTTCATTCTACATCAGTTTTGGTGTACTTCTCTCCTGATTTTTCAGTTGCAGTCTAATGATTTTAAATATATTTTAATAATTATGCAGATGATGTATTCTTCCCCATAGAGCAGGCAAGAACTGCAGGACCTACTTTTTATGAATCGAGTGAATCCTTCTGTAAAATAGAAGCCAAATTTCTTGAAAATTATAATTAAGCATTCTCTAAGTCTTTTATTTATACATTGTAGGTATTTTCTCCTCCCGACAGAGAAGTCTAAGTGTGCCACAACCTCCCTGAAAAAAGATGAAGTTCATAGAAACTTACAAAATGGTCCCATTTTGATGACACCAGAATACATCTCTTTTCAAACTCTCCTTTGTACTGCTTTGTTCAGCTATGCAGCACTGCTCCTCCAAATTTAGGGTGTATACATACATCCCTTTCTGAAGGTAGTACGGGAGAATGGACTTGTCTCAGAGTTTTTCTACAAAGTTGTTAGGGTTTTAAATGTGGAGACTGGAAAACAGTAATATTAAAATAGTTCAGCTCCTGAGCATGATAATTTTTATGCCAGGATAAAAATACTTTTCAGCATACAGCATAGACAGCTGCCACTTCACTACGGCTTATGTTACAACTGCTGTCCAATTCCAGATGGGTA